TATAGTTTATTATGCCAGCCTGGCTGATAAATACAAATACCCTGTCTAACACAGACTAGAACTGAGTCAAGGAAGACAGAATTAGTGAGATTGCCGACAAATCCCTCACTAATCTGCTGGCAGAATTATCTGCTAGATGAATTATCTGAAAAACAACTTTAAAGAATAATATGGGGGCACTATCAAGAGGAATAACTCGTGCAAGGAAAAGATTTTAAAAAGCACAGAGAAAATTGTGGAATAACTGTTTAAAGAAAACGTCCCTAATATTATGAAAGATGAGAAATATGTACTCAAAAAGCTGCACAAATCCCAAAAGATTAGACCTAAGAGAAAATAAGAAAGACATATCACAGTCAAAGTGTCCAAAACTGAAGATAAGAAAGAATATTGAAAGCAGCTCAGGAAAAATAAAGTTATGTATAAAGGAGAACCAGTAAAACCCAGCTCTGGTTTCTCAGCAGAAACCATGCAGTCATGTAGGCAATGGGTTGGCACATGCAAAATCCTGAAAGAAAAACCATTTCCAACAAAGATGAATAGATACAGCAAAATTCTCCCTCAAACATGATGAAAAACTTAGGACACTTCCAGGTAAACAAATATTAAAGGACTTTATGAAATTCAGATCAATTTACAAGAAATTCTAACGGGAGGTCTTTGGACAAAGACAACAACCTGAAGTTAACAGAAATGACAACAACACTAAGATTCAACCCAGATATAAAAATATCCAAAGTAAAAAAATCTTCGACTGAAAATTGGAAACCAAAAGAAAAAAAATGTATTTGTAAATGAAGACAATGCAAAGCCAAAAAAGGAAATAAATACTATCATTACAAAATTTACAAATAGAGAGGAAGTCATGTAGATTTCAAAATCTAGCAGACTATTTTAAATTTAGAAGAAATGAACAGATTACATGGTAACCTGAAAGAAAATTAATAAATGCTCTCATCAAAATTTAAAAAAGAAAGACCAGTAAATATTAAAACAACACCAAAGAAGAAAATAATATGAAAATCATATAAAAAAATCTCAACACAGAAAATTATATGGAAGAAACCAGAAGATTCACATACACACAAACTCATTTATCAAAGTAATAGCATTACATTCATACCCACCCATAATTACACTAAATGTAAATGTACTACATGTGCCAGTTAAAAGAAAAGAGTAGCAGAGTGGATCAGAAAACAGGACTCACCAGTACACTGTGTACAAGAAACACACTTCAGACACAAAGACAAAAACTGACTAAAAAAGCAAAAGATTGAAAGCATATATCAAGTTAATGGCAATCAAAAAAGGGCCAGTATTAGGATATAATTTTCTGATAAAATAAACTTTAAACAGAAGCTAGCATAAGAGACAAAAAAAGGAAATTATATAATGATTGAAGAGCAAATTCACCTAAAGGATAGAGCCGTAATAAATACTTATACACCCAATGAAAGAGCCTCAAGATACATCAAATAGCAATAGAATTTAAGAAAGAAATGGACAACTCTACAATAAAAGGAGATTATACTTTTGATGAAGGACAGAACAACTAGAAAAACTCAATAAAGACATAGAAGAACTAAATAACCCCATCAGTAAATTTAACCTCAACACTCCATCCCCAAACAGCCCAATATATGTTTTATTTCAGTGCACGTGAGACAGTCTTCAAAACAGACCATATGTTAGAACACAAAGCAAGCCTTAATAAATTTAAGAACTTCTCAGATCACAACACACAAAAATTAATTCAACAATAGGAAGATCAAAGGGAAAAATAAAATTCATAGAAATTGAATAACACCCTGCTTTAAAACCACTGGGTAATAGAAAAAATAAACAAAATAAAATAATTCATTGAATCAAATAAGGACAAAGATACAAGAAACAGGAACCTTTTGAGCCAAGCAAGAGCAGTGCTCAGAGGGAAATTTAGAATAATAAATGCACACATCAAAAAAGAAGGAAGAAGCTGAGGAGTGGGTGAAGGGAGGGATCGGACAGTGTAAAACATGACAAAATAATAATAATTTATAAATTATTAAGGGTTCATGAGGGAGGAGGGAGCGGGGAGTGATGGGGAAAAATGCGGAGCTGATACCAAGGGCTCAAGTAGAAAGCAAATGTTTTGAGAATGATGATGGCAACATATGTGCAAATGTGCTTGATACAGTGGATGTATGTATGGATTGTGATAAGCGTTGTATGAGCCCTCAATAAAATGATTTTGAAAAAAGAAGAAAGAACCCAAATCCACACCTTAACTCAATATCTCCACCAAATAGGAGGTGGAAAAGCTGCAAAACAAGCTTACAACATCCAGAAATAAAGAAAAAACAATAAAGTTTACAGCAGAAATAAACGAAATAGAAAACAGAAAATCAAAAGAGAGGATAAAAAAGACTAGATGTTGGTTCTGTAAAAAGACTGATAAAATCAACAAACCATTGGACACTAGCATAAAGGAAAAGCGCATAAATAACTTGAATTGGAAATGAAGTGAGTAACATAACAATAGACCCATCTGAAAGGAAACAGGATAATAATAGGACACCGTGAAGAAATGAACTCCAACAAACATGGTAACCTAAAACTCGATGGATGAATTCTAAAAATGCATTCTCTACCTAAACTGACACACTCTGAAGTTGAACATTGAAATGACCCATAACAAGAGAAGTGATTTTTTTTAAGATCATTAAAGCATTTCCAACAAAAAAATAGTCCTGGCCCAGACAGCTTCACTGGTGAATTCTACCACATTTACCATACAGTGAAAACTTCTTCGACGTAATTAAAAGGCACCTATGCAAAACCAGTCACCAACCTTAGTCTCCACAAAGACACCCTGAAAACATTGCCCCCTGCAAACAGACAAGAATGCCCTTTATCACCACTCATTTTCAATATTCAATAAGTCTGAGCCAGAGCTATTCGACAAGAAAGGGAAATGTGCTGTTAGGTGTGTGCTGTTAGTCTGACTCACAGTGACCCTGTGTTCAACAGAATAAAATACCGCCCGGGCTTGTAGTGTCCTCAGAATAGTTGGTATGTGTTAGCCCAGTATTATAGCCCCCGTGTCAGTTCATTTTGTCATGTGTCTTCTTTCTCGCTGTGCTTCTACTTTACCAAGCTTAACCATAATAATCCTTTCCAGCCACTGGTCTATCTTGATGACATGCCCTAAGTACATGAGATGAAATCTTGCCATCTTCACTTCTAAGAAGAACCTGGTTGGACTTTCGTCCAAGACAGATGTGTTTGTTCTTTCGACAGTTCGTGGTATTGTCAATATCCTTCACCACCGCCACAATCAAATGCATCCATTCTTGGGTCTCCTTATTTGATGTCCAACATATATATGAGGAGATTAAAAATACCATGGCTTTGGTCAGGCACATCCTAGTCCTCCTTGCTCTTCAATACCTTTGAGGGTTATTTAGGAGAAGATTTACTAATGCATTGATTGAGCTATTTGATTTCTTGACTGCTGCTTCCATGACCATTGGTTGTGGATCCAAGCAAGGTACAATCCATGATACCTTACATCTTTTCTCCATTTATCGTGTTGCTAACTATTGGTCCAGTTGTGAGGATAATGGTTTTCTTGACATTGAGTTGTAATCCATAGTGAAAATCTTTTTTTTTCATCAGCAAACACTTCAAGCCCTGCTTCAAGTAAGGTTGTGTCATCTGCATATTGAAGATTCCTCCAATTATAGTCCAGCTTCTCTGATTGCCCAACAAATATGAGTAAACGTGGTGAGAGGATCAACCCTGACACATACCTTGACTGATTTTAAACCATGCAGTATTCCATGGTTCTGTTTGAACAACCGCATCTTGATCCGTGTACAGATTCCCCATGAGCCCAATGAAGTCTTCTGGAATCTTCAATCTTCTCAATACTATCCATAGTTGGTTATGATCCACATAGTAAAATTTCATTGCATAATCAATAACCACGCATAAATATTTTTCTGGTATTCCCTGCTTTGAGTCAAGATCCATCTGACACCTCAATGATAGCCCTTGTTTCATGCCCCCTTCTGAATCTGAGTTAAATTTCTGGATGCTTTGTATCAATGTACTAGCGTGCCCATTGTTGAATGATCTTCAGCAAAATTTTATTTGCCTGTGATATGAATGATATTGTTCAATAATTTCCACTCTCTATAGGATCACCTGTCTTTGGAATGGGTGCATATATGGACCTCTTTGCATTGGTTTGACAGTAACTGTCTTACAATTTTTTGTGTGCATAGATGTGCTAGTGCTTCATCAGTGTATCGAAACATTTCAGTTGGTTCTGTCCATACTGGAAACTTGTTTTTCACTAATGCCTTCAGTGCAACTTGGACTGTTTCCTTCAATACCATTGGCTCTTGATCATATGCTATCTATTGAAATGGTTGACTATAGTTGTTCTATGTATTCCTTCCTTCCATCTTCTCTTGATGCTTCTTGCATTGGTCAATATTTTGCCTATAGAATCTTCTACCATTAGAATATCAGACTTGGATTTTTCTCAGTTCTCTCAGCTTGAGATATATTGAGCACATCCTTCCTTTGTGGTCCCAACTCCAAGTCTTTGCACGTTACATTGTCATACTTCACTTTGTCTTCTCAAGCTGCCCAGTGAACTTTTCTGTTCAGCTAGCTCTTTTACTTCATGTCTTCCATTTGCTTTATTTACTCTACTAACAGGAGCAAGTTATAGTCTCTTCTGACATCCAACTTAATCTTTTGTTTCAAATCTTTTTAGTGGTCTTTTGCTTTCTTCCTGGATTATGTTCTTAATGTCATTTCAAAGCTATTCATAATAGCCACTCAAAAGTTGAAGCACTTAGGAATAAGTCTAACCAGAAGGACAAAAAGATGAGCGCCACTCCCTAGTGGGGGCTGTTCATGGCGTCTCCAACAATCTCCCCACTTGTGATACTGAAACTCCCCAAAGCGGAGGCAGCAGAGCTTGCGGTCCTTGCTGGTGTGAAATGACTGAGTACAAACTGGTGGTAGCTGGAGCAGGTGGTGTTGGGAAAAGTGCTCCGACAATCCAGCTAATCCAGAACCACTTTGTAGACGAGTATGATGCCACAATAGAGGATTCATATCAAAAACAGGTGGTTATAGATGGTGAAACCTGTGTGCTGGACATACTGGACACAGCTGGACAAGAGGAGTACAGGGCCATGAGAGACCAGTACAAGAGGACAGGCGAAGGCTTCCTCTGTGTGTTTGACATCAATAATAGCAAATCATTTGCAGCTATTAACCTCGACAGGGAGCAGATTAAACGAGTAAAAGACTCAGAGAATGTACCTATGGTGGTGGTAGGAGACAAGTGTGATTTGCCAACAAGGACAGTTGACACAAAACAAGCACGTGAACTGGCCAAAAGCTATGGAATTCTATTCATTCAACCCCAGGCAGGGTTGAAAAAACGCAATAGCAGTGATGATGGGACTCTAGGTTGTATGGGGTTGCCATGTGTGGTGATGTAACAAGATACTTAGTAAGTTCTATCAGAAAAGAACCACTCACAAGCTGCACTGACACCTGGTCCTGACTTCCTTGGAGGAAGGTCCCTGTTGATATTCTCAGTTTCGCCAAGAAGCACCTGTATTTCCCACCTCTCAGTGTCTCAGTGAAATGTTCTCTGTTGGAGAAGTTCTCAGAATAACTACCTCCTCGCGTGGCTGTCTGACCAGAGAAATGCCCAGGTGCCCTTCTCTGGTTTTTTCCCGTCACACACATGACCCAGATCTAACTTAAAAATCCAGCTAGTCCAGAGAACACACAATGGTACAGATAAGCGCTCTTGACGCATGGAATTCAGGACAGATAAAACCCTCAGAAACAGTAGTGGGAATATCGATATCATGACGGTAGGGGGATGGTGTGGGTGTAGGGGAGAAGAGAAGAAAGGAGGAATCCATCACAAGATTGGATATATAGCCACACTCCAGGGAGGCGAATAACAGAAATATGGGCAAAGAGAGACAAGGGACATTGTAAGACATGAAATAACAATAATAATATATAATTGATTAAGGATTCATGAGGGTGGGAGGGTGGGGAAGGAAGGGGAAAACAGAGGAGCTGATATGAAGGGCTCAAGTAGGAAGAACATGTTTTGGAAATGTTGACAGCAACACATGTACAAGTGTGCTTAATAAAATTGAATGATGGATTGCCATAGATTTGTAAGAGACCCCCATTAAATGATTAATTTTTTTTAAAAAAGGTGAACTGTTGATTGATGACAAACCTCATTCTGGGCATCCAGTCCGCTTCCCTAACAGATGAAAATGTCGACTCCTGGTGCATTTGGAGTCCATTCCACCAGATCACACTGCTTTTCTGTTTTATATTTTAAAATATTTATTTACCATAGTTAATTGAAATTCATCCCACAGTTGATTAGTATAATAAAATAAGCACTGTAATATACAAATTGATGAGGAATAAAAGAACCAATTATCTATGTAAACACAGAAAATATACAATACTATGTCAAAAAGCTTTTCATGGGAAAAAAACAATGAAAACATAACCAAATATGTTAATATACACTCATGAAAACCAAACCAAACCAAATTACAGAGATGTCACACTTAGTGGGAAAAGAAAAAAAAATCATTCCACCTAAGAAACAGAACAAACATACATGTCCACTTTCACCACTGATATTAGAAATTGTACTGTATGTTCTATCTAGAGAAATCAGAAGAATAAACATTTTTAAGAAGAAACATTTTTAAAAAGGGAAAGAGGCTTACAAAGAGAAGAAACACAAATTCTTGTAATCATCAAAAAATAATGATCTTATACATAAAATATTATAAATATGTCATGAATAGTATAGCTAATAAATATAAAAGTGTTGTAGGCTACATTTCAGCATACAAAAATAATGTTGGTACTTAATTCCTCTCCATTAACTGCTAATCACCAACTCCCAACCCATTAACCCTTACACCTTAACATGTTGAGTATCCTTACAACACAATGATAACATCCTAAAACACTGAACCCCTAATTGTATGAAAAGGCTCTTACCATCTAGAATTTCGACTAACTCTCTAAGCATCCCCTGATACCCACAACATGCTTAATCCTACCACTTTACTATAAACCTTGATTCTTTGAATCAAGATCACAACCTTGAATATATTCTATAATCTTAATTTTAATTGTATGACCTCATATCCCAAATTCAGAAACACTGTTAATCAAGCTTTCTATGTAGAGGTTCTGAAAAGAAAACAGTAGGAAACAAAAAAGACCTGATTTGTGGCAGCTGGGGGACTGGTTTTGCCACAATGACAATGCACCTGCTCACTTAGCTATCTCAGTGCACCAGTTTTTGGTAAAAAATCCCAGTATGCCTCTCTTGCCCCATACACCGTACTCCCTTGACCTTGCTCTGTGTGACTTATTTTTGTTTCCACGAATGAAGAGGGACATAAAATGACAGTGATTTGACGACAACGTAAACATGGTGAAGAAAAAAACGAGGGAGGTGCTGTCAGCAATCCAAACAGATGAGTTTGGAAAGTGTTTCCAAGAATGGAACTGCAGATTTGACAAGTGCATTAAGTGTAATGGAGAGTCCTTTGAAGGTGATAAGGTTGTTGTGTAAGGGAAAAAAAATTAAATGCATAGCTTTGAAAATTCTGCTTTGGGGGGTACCCCCATATAGCAATAAATTTATATCAAGAAAGTGACTCTCAAAGTAATACTCACATATCATAACAGAAATTTCTGATTATTTTATGCATTTGTCTCTTTTATCATTCATGACAGACGTGACAAGTAGAATTATTATTCATCAAAACTAGATTAATGAAAAGTCTTTCATCCCCTAACTGCAGCACACAGAGATAGGGAACAATAATGGGGGCACACAGTGGGGAGACAGTATGGGAATGGAGCACAACAGATCAGCAATTGGAATAAAGCCGAGCCACAGAACTCCTGAGGAGCCCCAAGGATAGACTCTGGGCTAGGAGAGGCAGGCCCTGGATCTCCCTCGGGACCATGGGGGAGGGTCTCATGGGGTACAGCAAACGGACCTGGACTTATGTCAGGTTTTTTCCTTTTTCTTTCTTTCTTTTTTTTTTTCTTCTGTGTGTGTGTATAAGAAAGAGCTTTATATAAAGAGTAATTGTATATTAAGAAAACATCCCAGCCCAGATGAAGTCCATAAGTCTGATATTAGCCCATATGGTAGCCGATACCAGTCTATAAATTCCTCTTCAGACTCATGCAGCACATGCAATGACGCTGAATGCAGGAAAATCACAGGCCAGAGGGTGGAAAGTCTTGTGGATCCAGTGGCAGTGGAAGAATCTCAGTGCTGGCGTGGGTCTCCACGTGGCTCCTCACGCTCCAGGGCTCTGGCTCCATCAGCAAAGCTACATGTGTCTTGTCAGCAGGAATGTCTTGCAGGCAGAGTGTGTGTCTCACTTCCAGGGAGGAAGACAGGAGTTCCCAGAATCCTCAGGAGAAGACCACACCCACACAGAGGCCTCATTAGCTATGACCTGATTGACAGGCCAGACTCCACCCATTCACTCAAACTGACAGTAGATTATTGTAACTTCCACAATGAAATAAGGATATTGACTTACAGTGAGGTTTTCAGAACACTTGGTTGCATTACTTCATAATCAAGCCTCATGTTGATAGATTTAAAATAATCGTATATAAGGTGATATCTGATTGTGCATCAAGGCACTATCACTTCTTCCTGTTCTATATGATAGGAAACACTGGGGACTGGGGACCAAGAGTTTCCTTTTGACATCAAGGCGTAAGAAGGCCAGGTGGAGAAGCAGTGTGGGGGAAGTGAGGACTTTGAAGAGCATGAAATGAAGCAGAGATCCCTGGGTGGTACACACAGTTCGTGCTTGACTGCTAACCTAAAAGTTGGCTATTCAAACCCACCCAGGGTTTTTCTTTCTTTTTTTCCTCCCCTGTCATCTTTTTCTCTTTCCTTTTATTTCTTCAACCATATGTTTTCTTATCAGACTAGGACATTGCTGGTTTGCCTAATTAAATGGGTTGGTCATGGGAGGGAAGCTCAGGGAGAAGGCAGTGGGACCAATGGCCCCAGAAGGTAGAGGGCGAAGAAGGAGGTGGGGAGAAGGGTGTCATGAGCAGATGGCATCATGGACAAGGGAACAACTAGGGAAGCGGAATGAGTATTAGAGCAACACCAAGCTAGTGGAGAGGAAGCACTAAGAGGTGGAAGAAAGTGATGGAGGGGCAGGAGGAGGCAAAAGGAAACAGAGGCAAGCTCTAGGAAGCAAAGGCATAGACAGGGAGATTAACAGATGTGTACATTATGTAAATACATTATTCATAACAATAGTGGTATTGGCCCATGTACATATATTTATAAGGCAATACACTGAGGCTGCAGATGGGCGTTGGGCCTCAGTTTATACCTTCCCTCAATACAAGAACACTTTGTTCTAACAAACTGGCATTCTGTGATGCTCACACACACCTCCCCTACACGACTGCTGAAGACAAAATGGTGCATAAGCAGATGTGGTGAAGACAGAGGATGGTGCCTGGCTATTAAAAGATACAATGTCTGGGGTCTTAAAGGCTTGAAGTTAAACAAGTGGCCATCTAGCAGTGAAGCAACAAGCCCACACAGAAGCACACCACCTGGTGCGATTGTGAGGTGTCATCAAGACTGGGCAATGGGCATCAGAAGATTCACAACAAACAGTAAACAAACAACCAAAAATGCATCGGTGAGAATGGAAGGGGGGGTTGGAGTGGAGACCCAAAGCCCATCTATGGACAATGGAACATTCCCCCACAGAGGGGTCGCAGGGAGGGGATGAGACAATCAAGGTGCAGTTGGGCACTAAT